TTCTTTCTTTCTTTCTTTCTTTCTTTCTTTCTTTCTTTCTTTCTTTCGTTCGTTCGTTCTTTCTTTCTTTCTTTCTTTCTGTCTTTCTTTCTGTCTTTCTTTCTGTCTTTCTTTCTTTCCTACTTTCCTTCTTTCTTTCTTACAATCCTGGAAAGCCTCAGCCGGTTTACTGCAGGATACAGAGTAGGAAAGGGGGGGCGGGGATCTATCGATTCCATCCATAGTGCTTAGCACACAACAAGCACTTAATAAATGTTTCATCTATTGGTGTATGAATTGGGAGGAGGCATGTGTGTGCAGAATTTGGCTGTGAGCTCCTTGAGGCCAGGGGCTGTCTTTTGCCTCTTTTTGTATCCCCAATGCTTACCACACAGTACCTGACACAGAGTAGGCGCTTAATAAATGTTGACTGATTGGATGAATGGATGGCTGGCTAGTTGCAGAGGCCACTGCTTGCGGTGGGGCCAGGTCTACGCTCTGCGCTCACCTGGGGGCGCTGTGAAGCCGAGCCGCCGGCCAAGCTGCTAGCGAGGGAGGCTGGCTGCCTCCTCCTCCTCCTCCACCTCGTCCACAGCGGCTCCCTCTGCAGCTCTCCTCCCCGCGGAGGGGCGACTCCCGGGTGGCGAGGTCGCCGCCCCCGCCTCCGCCTCCGCCCCTACCGGCTCCCCTTTCTGCAGCCGGCGAGGGGAGTGGCCGCCCGGCGCTGAATGACTGCCTCCTGAGAGCCCCAGGCGAGCCTGCCTGCGTTCTCTTTGCGCACGGGGCAGACGGACGGACTGAGCGCTCGCTCCCTCGCTCGCGCTCTCGCTTGACTCTGTTTGCCGGGGACGCGGGGCTCGAAACCGCTGGAGGAGGCGGCGGTAGCGACAGCGGCAGTAGTCTGTGCCCGCGTCCTGCGGGAAGAGCGGAGGTGTGCGGCTTGGAGAGGTAGGTAGCTCTTTCTTTCTCCCCAATCTTTCCACTGCGCTTCCCGCTGCGCCCTGGAGCTGGAGCCGGGAATGGAGACCCGGGCTCCAGGGAATGCCAAGGAGACAGCCTTCGCCGGCTGCTGCTGGGGGATCCCCTAGAGAGCGGGAACGAGAGCCAGAGATTGGAAGGAAGGGGAGATTCTCCACACATTGTATTGCTCTTATTTATTTATTTATTTTGGTTGTTGGGCGGGGGGTGGGGGGGGGGGACGCGGAAAGAACAGAGGTGGAAGAATTAAGTTGCGCATAGTTTGTCCGCCCACCAGGAAAGGGAAGTCCAGATCCTCACTCTCTCTCTCCGTGTGGACCCCTCATCCAACCCCAAAACAAAACCTGATTGCTTCTCGACCCTATTTTATGAACATACACTCATTTCAATCAGTGTGGGAATGAAATTGAAGAATAAAGCGGGTGCTGGGGTAGGGGGCGTGTTCGGGGCAAGGGCATTAGGGGTCCAGGTGAAGCGTGCGGTGTTTGGAGGGTAAGAGCAAGATGGGGTTTCCTTTGCATGCAGCTGCTCCTTCCTCCTTTGTTCAGGCACTGTGGCGGGGGTTGCCCTGGGTCCTGTTTCCTTGCCGGGATTGATTCTTGTTGGGGATGGGGGTGGGGGTGGGGGTGGGCGATGGAGATGGATTGAAACCAGATTAGGAAGTGAAGAAAATTTACATTTGAGCCACTTGTGGGGGAGGGCTGGAGATTGATGGTGTGTGTATGCCTTACGGGGTACAGAGGAGTTGAGGAGGGGTGATGAGAGGATGGGAAGGGGGTGCTTGTTCCAGCCGGCAAACCTTTCCTTTAAGGGGCTGTGAGTCTCTAGAGCTGTCTTTTAAAAAAAAAATGCTTTGTTGAGGTTGTAACCATATGTTTATTGCTACAAAAAGTTGTGTGCTATGTGGTACCACTGAGAGTTTCTTCAGTAGTTTGTTGAAATCAAAGCTTGCCAGGTATCCTGGAAAGAGAGGGGAACCTTTGGTGTGAACCTGGAGGTTTCTTTTTGTGTACTTGGAACTAGCCGAGACCAAGGTATTAACCTGCATCTAAATACATTATGGAAAACAAATGTAATGCAGTCAGGTTCACATGTGGTTAATTTTATACATCATAATGGAGAATAGTATAAAAAAAATCTCTCAGGAATGTCTGGGGGAAAACCACCAAAGGGACAGGCAGGCATTGCTAAATGTATGAATCAGGTTATGTATATTCACTAGGAAAACCCAATCCAAGGACTTTCCCAGAAAATAATAATAATTGTTTGTATTAAAAAAAAAACCCTCAAAAATAGTTGAGAAAGTGTAGTTTTCATTAGAGAATAATTTTTTTTTAAAAAAATTCCTCAATTGTTCTTTCTACACATGATGAGAGTCTGTATAAAAGAAGAAATAACACTTGGGAGTTTGGTGGAAATCTGCTCTTATTGAGGGAACATAGCCCTTAAATATAGCATATCAAGTATTAGTTAAGGTAACCTTATTCAGATTGGAAGCATTGACACACAACGGGAACTGATGAAGAAGTATCTGGGTTTTGGGGGAGAGGAAGTGAGTGAATGATCAATATTTTTCTATGAAGTATTTCAAGCAAAACTGTGTCTGGGAGGAGCCTGAAATTTCCAGGCGTTCATGGTCTTCGTCCATGGGGCACTGGTGGAAGGGGCCCAACATTTTACTGAATGTGTGAGGACTGCTGTAGTGATGGCGAGAGATAGCCAGTAATACTCTGAAGAATTCCTGGGCAGACTATTTACAGAAAATAAGATTGGTGTTTGTCCTGGGGCAGCACTTAACTGCAAGGGGACAATATTTGTTTTTTTGAGAGAGAGTGCCACCCTACTTTTCACTTCAGTCCATCTCTTTAAGGTGAACCAAGTTTGAAAGTTGACTTTAGAAGGAGAATTGGGAGCATGCTCTGGAAAAATGTTTTCTACCCACTAACTGGTAATGGAAAAGCATTGTACATACTGCTGAGTGTGTGCCTTTTTACGTGGGGTTGTGGTCAGCTTTTCAGGGCCTGCCTGCTAAGCAATGGGACATGTCCTCAGAAGCCATTGTGAGTTTTAAATTGAAGTGGGAATTTTTCCAACCAGGCAAGCTGTTTGTTATTATAATACAAAGCTGGGCAAAACATTCTGCCTTCTACAGTTAACAGAGAGTAACTTTTTCAAAAAGTTTCATCATTTTTAACTTTTACAGAATAATTCACATTATTAAGGGAAAAACCACATTTGATTATCCAACTTCCCAAATAACAATTGAAATATTCTTTAATGAAATATACACCACAATAGAAAATGACTGCTACAAAGGAAACACATGGTGGGGGGGGGGGTTTGCTGAGGGAGAAGCTGATTTTCCAGCATCCGGCTATCCTATTGTGTGATTGTATACAGCATTAAGGCTTGCAACAGGCTTTACCCCTTCTGAATGAATCATCATTTTGCCAGTATCAAAGACAGGCTTTCCCCAGCTGTGAAGTGGCACCTCTAAAGGGATATGGGATGGGGATGGTGGGCTGGAGGAGAGGTTCTAAGAAGAGACTTCTGTTAATTATCTTCTACTTATCCTGTATATGTTTGCTTTGTGTATATATGATTCCATGTTGTCTCCTCCATTAGATTGTAATCTCCTTGAGGCAAGGGACTGCCTATTGCCTCTTTTTTGTATGCCCAGGGCTTAGTACAGTGCCTGATATTGATATTAATAATGTATTAATTGACATTAATATTGATTATCAGGCTGTCAGAATGAAGACTGTGATTTAGCATTTCTTCCCTCTTTGATTTTCACTCTCCTCCCCTACTACTACAGGAGGTGTGAAATTTTAATTTCTCACACACCGTCTAATCTTTAGGAAGACATTAGTGAAATTTGGAAGTCCAGATCTGAGATTGGTGTGTTTACAATTATGGCCTTTATGATGAGATTCGAAGACATAGTGGAAGACGTGGATTGTAGTCTAACTTCTGATGCAGCCTTGGACCTTAAGTAAATCCTTTCATGTCTCCTTGCTCCAAGTAATTCCTTTTTTTGTTTGTTTGTTTGCTTTTTTGCTAGGCAATGGGGTTAAGTGACTTGCCTGGGCCACTAGCTAAGTGTCAAGTGTCTGAGACTGGATTTGAGCTCAGGTCTTGCTGATTCCAGGGCAGTGCTCTATTCACTGGGCCACCTAGCTGCCCCACCCCCCAAGCAATTCTTAAAGCTGTAAATTATAGATGAGTTACAGATCTTCCTTTGTAAAAGGAGTTTGTTACTTGGGGAGTTATCTACACTGATTAAAAGTTACTTACTTACTACTACTGCTGCTACTACTACAAGTACTAACTTTTCTATGAAGCTTTTCCTGATCCCTCCAACTGCTCATGCCCTCCTTTTTGAACTACCTTGTATTTAACTGTGGTATTTATTCTCTCTCTTTATATGCATATATGTATATGTGTATATATTTACATATAGAAAAGTCTCATGTCCCACACTTGCCACCTGCTAGAATGTCAGCTTCTTGTGAGTACACATTGATTTGTTTCCCTGGTGTCTAGCACAGTGCTTGGCACATAGTAGGTATTTAATAAATCCTTATTGATTGAATAATATGACTAAGATAAAGGAAAAGAAACTTTAATAAAAAAGAGTCTGTTAGGCTGCCAATATGTAAAAACACATCATTCCCTTTCAGGAAACCTGTGTAAAAAGGAGAGGTGTATAAAAACGACAGAGAAAAAGCATCTACTTTTTTTTTTTAAAAAGAAATTTTTTTTTTAATTAGGAAAAATCATTTTCTCTCTCACTCTCTCCTCCATTGGGAGGGGGAGGGAATAAAAGCAAAAGCCTTGTAACAAGTATGCATAGTCAAGCAAAACAAGTTTCTTACTTGGCCATCTCCAAAAAAATATATGTATGTTGAGTTTTGCACCATGTCCTTCACCTCCCTGTCAGGAGGTGGGGAGCATGCTTCATCAGTCCTCTGGAATTGTGGTTGGTCATTGCATCCATCACAGCTCTTAAGCTTTCAGATTTGCTTGTTTTTACAACGAAAGCATCTGTTTTTCAAGGTGTCTCTGCAGTAGTGAAAGATGTGTAACCTTTGGATGACATTTCCTAGGACATCAGAATTTGCTCCATGATTGGGGGAGATTTTGAGCTGGAGTTTTTCTTAGTACACATTTTTTTTTATAGGAGGAACAGGGAAGGCAGGCAGTTAATAAAAGGAGGAAGTGGTTCAGTGGAATTGGAAACATACGAAGTGGTCGTCCTTAGCTTTTTCCCAGCACATGCTTTTTAAAAGTCCTGGCAGCAGCCCCTTTGTAGAAGACATTTTTCCTTTGGAAAGTGTCAAGGGTCTCTCTTTACAAGATCCTCTGAGATCATCACATTTCTGGGTTCTGTGGGAACAAAATCCCACAGGATGATTTCTGTACTCATCTTTCCCCTACAGAGGAAGTGAGCCCACTTAGGAAGCGGCAAGAAGGAAGAGCAGGAGTGGAATTTTTAGCATTTGTGGAAGATGGGAGCAAAATGGAGACTTATGGACGGGTAGGAGACACCTCAGATAGCCTTGGGAGAAAGCTGTTCTGAGAGTAGCTGCCAATGCAAACACTGAAAAGATTTTAACACTGGATTTTAACCTGAAATTATTTATGTCTTCATTGGAGGGATGGGATCAAAGAGAAAAGGTCAATATTAGTTGTTATGTACCCAAGATAAGGCTTCAACTCTACAAAGTTTGTCTTTACTTTATTTGGCACTTAATCATTTCATGACAGAAAAAGTCCATTTGGTGTCCCTGAGTTCTTTGCAGTTGCCATAGGTCGATATTTTATATTTTCCAGTTTCAGAAAATCCTCTTGTTTACCTTAAAATTTGGCTTTATGTTGGGGAGGCAGGTACAAGGTCTGGCAAACAGCAACAGATAGGTCAAGATCTTCTTATACCCAACTAGGTGTCACACAATGAAGATGGAAAA